GTGCTTCAGCAGTTGACATATATAGAGCTCAGCGGAAACATATAAATTATAGCATCTGACCAATGAAAATTTCGCGTCAGGATTTGAGACACAGATATTCAAATTTATTAGTCATCGATGCAGGCTCTCAATTCAGCTTGAGAGCCTGTTCGCAGGCTAATTGCATTGCTTCCCTAGTGTATGGTGTATTAATATATTTGAATCCCCTGACTATGACTTGGCTGTGTAAGATTGTATCTCTGTATTCCATATTTACTATTAATATGTTCTTTTATTGCTGTGTAACGTTGGGAAAATGTCTGGAGGTTAAAACCCATTGAGTCGCATTGCGCCCTGATGTGCCCTATTTTATAATTATTTTACGCTGTCTAACACCAAATTATTTTACTCTAGCTGTCTAATGTCAGATGATCTTACTTGTCAAGGGGAGAGCGCTGATGCTTAATGGGTTAACTGGCCTAACTACCCATGTGTCTAGTTAACCCATTGAGTCGCATTGCGCCCTGATGCCTTTATTACTTTACTCAGTCTAACGCCAGACAATTTTACTTGTCAATGGGAGATGGCGCTTGATGGATTAACTGGCCATGTGTCTAATTGTAGTTAACCCATTGCACCCTGATGCGTCCTACTTTTAATTATTAATTTACTCTGTCTAATGCCAGATGGTTCGTCAAGGGGAGAATGCTGGCACTTAATGGGTTAATGCATTGTGTTGAATTTATATTTACAGATGCCAAAATTGTCCATGTTTTGACATTCCTGTCAACAATGTTCAACAACAAAAAATTTGCAAAGAAACAGAATCAAGAACTGGTTCATCAACTGAAGGTATGTGTAACTGTAAGACAGGAAAATAAGCTGCTTGAGAGCTGCAAATTGTTTTACTCACTCATTATTTGTACGGTAAGACGAAAAAACTTAATACAACTGCCATAAATCACAACTTAAGTCAAAATGTCTTGTGCATTGGCACTGTATTTTGATAAAATTAATTACAGTTCTCTTTTCAAATAAGAATTGAGTATTGTTCATGTATACATATCATCATGATACCATTTCAACATTGATCTGTTTCATTTAAGGATCATGAGGATCCAGATGTGTGGTGCACAAAGAAAGGTGGTAATGTCCCTGCACTCCTGATGGATAAGGAGCATTGTTATGTCATAGTGGGAAGGAGCATCCTGTTCAAGGTTCAAGTAAATGAATTACCGGAAGCTGTAGTTGCATTCTTGGCTGCGTTCTACTTGCTGGATGTCGACTACCCTAAATGTCATGAAATTGGTATGAATCTACTACAATATTTCATATTTGAAGACAAGAATGTCCCAAAAGATATTGCTGTGCACTTTAATGCCCAGCTTTCAGCATACAAAAAGTTCAAAACCGATGCAGTGTAATTGACTGAATGGAACTGGACATTTATTGCCATATTTAACTTTGCCATTTTTAACTTTGCCATATTTAACTTTGCCATATTTAACTTTGCCATTCCTTAAGGGGCTGTTCATGTGAGCCAGCTGACCTGGCTTTTCGGGCTGATTATTAAGTCATAAAAATCTTTTGTTCGCAACAACATAATGTTGTGATTAACTCTACACTAACCACAGCAAGTTCCAAAATAACTTAGTCAGCACAGTTAACAGGGCCAAGCCAGGCTCATATGACTATGCCCTAAACCTACTATATTGCCACTGAACATTTTGCTGTAAATAATGTTTGTATATTAATTATATAGTATATTTCAGAAATATAATGTGTCCCAATTTTCTAAGAGTAAGAAAATTATCAGAAACATATTTCTTATACTGAAAAAATATTTTCTTAAAATAAGATTTTGTTCCTCAATAATTTCTTATTTCAAGTAATTTATTAAATAAAGAATATTAAGAAATTCTTCTTAAAATAAGAAAATATTTTCTTATTTTGAGAATAATTTCTTAATATTCTTTATTTATTAAATTACTTGAAATAAGAAATTATTGAGGAACGAAATATTTTTTTAAGAAAATATTTTCTTAGTATAAGAAATTTTTCTTAAAATTTTCTCAAAAAATTTTCTTAATAAGAAAATTTTCTTCTTATTCTCCCAAGAAAAAAATTTCTTATTTCAAGACAATTTTCTTAAAATGAGAAATAAATTTCTTATTTTAAGAAAATATTTTCTTAGTATAAGAAATTTTTCTTATAATTTCTTAAGAAAAGTTTCTTAATAAGAAAATTTTCTTAAGAAAATTTTCTTAATAAGAAAATTTTCTTAAATAAATTTTCTTATTAAGAAAATTTTCTTGTTATTCTCCCAAGAAAATTTTTTCTTATTTCAAGAAAATTTTCTTAAAACAAGTTTTTTTTTCTTAAAATAAGAAAATGATTTTTTACTGTGCTGGATGGATGAAAATGACAACAACGAAGTCAATGGAGGATAAAATAAGAATCGTAAAATAACACAATTTCTTTCTAAGCTGTGATGACTTCCAAATGCTGAGAACAACCACGATGTTTAGGCAGGTTCCAGCAAAAAGAAAGAAAAGGTTTACAATAAACAAACCTATAGCGTTTAAAAGAATATAATAATTCATCTTCTTTGTTACTCGTTCATACACGGCTAAGATATTTCCTCTCTGCTACATCCTTCATCCGCAAGTATAATAAACATAGCAATAACGTTCAAAATATCTGGGGCCGGTTGTATAAAAAAGTGATTAAAGTTAACTATAGCTAAGTGGAAATGTCATCCAATAAGAAGCGCCAATTTGAGAGTTAATCACTATTTAACTGCAAAATGGTGATTAAAAAAGTGATTAAGAGTTATATACAACCTGCCCCTGCTATAAATCAACAATATGAACTTATTGGAAAGTATAATAATTTTCGTAAAAATGATGAATATGATACCTATAATATGATATGTTAAAAATTCAACATTTTTTTATATTTAACAACTATATCTCACTGATAGCCGTACGAAGTTTCTGGGCTGCCCAAAGACCTGGACGGCGGGACAAAATTATTTGTTTGCAATGACGTATTTTTGGGTTTTTAGTTGACTGGCAGGTGGAACAAAAAACGGCAATTTTAATGTGTTGATCGAGTTTAGAGACAGCTCAAGACTCAAAAGATGAATTACCATTCAGTTTTCGTGCAACAACCATTCTAATGGGAGAAAAATCGTCCACATGTTGTTTTATTGCCCGTCATTTGGATCGAAAGACACATGATTGCAAACATTAAGAATATAACTTTGGCTATATAAGTACGTCGGGTACATATGTCTTAAAAGCGTCTTAAAAGAAATGCTATACGACGTCTTAAAAGTATATATGTCTTAAAAGGAATACTACATGAAAGAGGAAATTTCTACCGAAACGGAAATTTTGTTTTAAGCGGCAGCACAACTTAGTTTATTTGAATTCAAGCTATAAATAAATATTACTTACTGTATCTAGTCACTATAAATAGTCATTTGCAACTTTGTTTAATATTTTTACTTTGGAATATATATTTATCTTCAGGAAAAGTTGTATAAATAATTTATCTTTGATGTTAGCAATTTTATTAACAGTTTTAAAACGGAAATTTAATATATTAATTCCCGAGGAGAGGGTACTAATTCCGGTCCATGAGGACCCGCACGACCAAAAATTGGCAACTTTTGCGTCTTGAAGACGCAAAAATCCGGAAATCAAAGTACATTATCTCATTAAATTTAATGGGAAAAACTGTTATCAATCATTAATTAGTTCACTAGTTTTTTAATTTTTTTTTATTTTTTTTTTTTTATAAACATATTTAATGTCTTTAATGTTTACCCAAGAGCGTGGACGCTCATCGAGGGGCTCACACTACATTTAACAAATAATTAAGTAATATACACAACAGGAGAGGACGAACATTTCAGGGAAAGAGGAAAAAAACCCCAACAATTGAAGGTTCAAAGTAATAAATTAATTCTTAGAAAAACGATTAGTTTGCTTAATATATTTTTGAACATTCATAAATATACATCTATTACTTTCTATACTCAAATCAGTTGAACCAGACAAAACTATTTTAGACTTTTGAAAATCGGACAAGAGATACCAGCTTTCACCATAAATTTGAGCAGCTACCGAGACTAAGGATAATCTAAGAGCAGCATAACGAGGACAATATAACAAATAATGAATGACTGATTCACAAGAATCTCCACATGAACATGCTGGAGATAATGTACAATTAATTTTAAACAAATAATAATTTAAAGCGTTACAATTAAGGCGTTTTAAAAACGATTTTTTAAATATTTCAGTTCTCACACCAAAAGGAGAAAAGTCAGAAGCATTTCTTAAGGATAGACCAGACCTTTGTTGTACTGTTTGAGGCAGTAAATCCGACAGATAATTTGGTGTTAACTTATTTACAATTTTAAAATATAAAATAAGTTTATGAATGGATCGCCTTGTTTTCATATCTTCCCAAGCTAATTCCTCCAGTAACCGTACTCTACTAGTACCCTTCATAGCACCTACAACTACTGTTGCAGCTTGATATTGAACGTGCTCAATGACATCGCTTTCATTTTCAGAGCAACGTCCCAAAGAACATCAGCATATTCCATCACTGGTTTAATAAGAGACTTGTACAATTTTGATAAAGTTTCTCTATCTAACTTAAACTTAAAACGTTTTAAAAGATTAAGTTTTTTTGAAGCTTTCTCATAAATATTGAGTATATGTGCCCTCCAAGAAAGATTTGAAGATAGGGTAACCCCTAAATGCTTATGATTACTAACAATTTCAATCGGCTCGTTTGCAAAGTATAACGTTGGATGTGCTTGTTTGAACATTTTAGCTGAAAATGTGACAGATTTGGTTTCACCTGGATTTATAGTAACATGCCAGTCACGTGTCCATTCATTAATGCATTGCAAATCATTGTTAAGTCTTTCTGCAGAAATATCTATATCTTCAACTACTTCTAGAAGAGAAGTATCATCAGCATGGAGAAAAGAGTCACATTGAAGATCCTGAGTAATATCATTTATATATATTAAAAAAGTAATGGACCTAATACAGAACCTTGTGGAACACCAGCCTCGATTTCATTCCAATCAGATGACTGGCCATCAATATTAACCCTTTGTTTTCTTCCAAACAAATAACTTTTAATCCATTTTAAAAGGGGGTCTTCTACACCAAGTAGCTCAAGCTTATAAATAAGTCCTCTATGCCAAACATTGTCGAAGGCTTTACTGATATCCAAAAAGACCATACGAACTTCTTTACCTGATTCTAATGCTTCATATATTTTATGAACAATTCAAATAAGTTGATTTACTGTTGAATTACCAGGGCGAAATCCGCTTTGAAAACGGTTCCATGGCCAGAAATTCAAGACATGCGCCTGTCGGAGACAGCGGTTTTCCGTGTGAAAATTGCACGCGCGTCTCATAAGCCGCGTTCACACTAGCGGCCCAGGCCTGGCCTGGACCTGGCCTGGGTCTAGGTGTGAACGGGTTTTACCTGGCCTGAGCCTGGCCTAGGCCTGGCCTAAGTCAAGAAATCCAGGCCAGCAAATGTAGGTGGCCTGGACCTGGCCTTGGCCTGGCCTTGGCCTGGCCTGGGCCTCGATCATCACTGGTGTGAACGGGTTTTTCCTGGGCCTGGCCTGGGCGAGGCCCCGTTACCATCGCAATATCTGCCCACGATAAAAACTGGTCAGATGATTGTCATACAATTGGAGGGAAAAACATTCAAAGCGCGAAATTAAATACCTCAGTGGAACACAAGAACGTTTATATTGACGCCTGATTGCTTTGGCCTGGAGTTGGGCGTCAAGTCAGTGTGAATGGGTCACAATTGGCCCAGGCCAGGTCAAGGCCAGGTCCAGGCCAGGCCTGGGCCGCTGGTGTGAACGCGGCTATAGCGAAGGAGACGAAATGGCCGCCAGCACAAGGGGAAGCTTTGTAGACTACAAGCAATTAAACTCCTTTTCCTCTGTTGTAATGTACAACACGACACCAAAGAGAAGAAATTCTAAATTCTATTCTGCCGAGCGAATTATTGGGCGAAGAAAACGACTCCATGTAAGTAAACTTTGACCAATTTTACCCAACATGATATACAAGTATATAGTGATTCTGTGAATCACTGAATGTCTTTATGAAATATATATCTGTATGAGTTCAAGAGGAACGATTATTTTTGCAACATCTTGTCATATTCTTCCAATAATTGCAAGTATAATGACTCACATGTAGCCATTGTATTGCCTTTAGGGCTATGAATACCTTATAAAGTGGGAAGGCTGGCCATTCCATAGTTGTTCATGGGAGCCATCAGACAACTTAAACCATGCTCTTTTAAGGTTAGTATTTTTGTTAAATATTGTGGTACGTAGTATAGCAAAAGTGTTGTTATGCAACATTAAATTGTACTTATTCTATTCCTATAGGAGTTACGGCATGCCAGCAAAACCTGATGGTCTCAGATTGGAAAGAGCATGTCGAGATTTTGTGCATGCCATCCACTCAAGGCTAAAGTCCAAGTCCAATGGATCAGTGTATGCAAACATGGAATTAGTTGTGTGGCGGTACATCACTTTTGGGAAAGGCAGCCCAGCTGAGCACAAGGGACATACAATGTTTGAAAATGAGGGATTTCTACGTTTTGATGGCTTACCTGAAAATTGGTTTTATACATTAAACCAACATGGTGAAGGTATTAAAGTGAAATTCCCAATGAAGGCAAAGCCTATAGTTTCCTGGACTTCCTCGACATTTATGTCAAAAAGTGGAAAATTGGAAGTAGCGCCAAAAATTCCCATTGAAAAAATTTCTATTTCGTTTGTAAAAGCAGCTTGTAATATTGAGAATATATATCTAAAGTAGGAAGTGATTGAATATAACTAATACAGTGTCAAAGCAAGCCATGGAAACTGATTATGCTATGCACATAAATCTATACCCCAAAACAGTGTAAACTGTAAAGGCAATGCAATACTAAATGTTTGAGTGAAGGAAGTCATTCACAGTAAGCTTCGAGACTGCAGCCTTCAACAAAATAATAAATATGAAATGAATAATGTTATATACCTAATTAAATGTGTTCGGATCTCTCGCAAGTCGGCTATGGTAGGATAAAACGTTGACGTTTTGAGCAACAACCCTTCGTCAAAGGCCGTACTAATTTTGATGTATTCACCTTTTCTCAAAATGTCAATGTTTTACCCTACTATTACAAGCTTACGAGAGACTCGACCACATTTATATATTTTACACAGCTGTCTATTTTGAACGTCAGTCTGTTTTATGATGCAAAATATATTGTTAATGTTAAATAATTATATTGTTCTACAGTTCTTTTTGTTCTGTAAATATTATTGTGTACATATCTTATTTGCAATACGCTAATTTCTCCATAGAGATTATAAATAACACTAGAGGAGGCATCGGGTTTAAAAATTGGAAACGCAGCTAATGGGGGGCAAATTCAAGTTCCGGAGATAAAATCGTGCTCGCATTGGCTGATTTGAAACTTGTAACCAACGACAACACAAATACACATCCGGGACTTCAATTTGCCCCCAATAGCTGCATTCCTTTTTTTTTACTAAATTAAGATTACAATGCCTCCTCTAGTGTTATTTATAATCTCCATGAACTCCTCCTCCCAGTTACTTTTTAGACTGCAAAGCTATGCGATACATGTCTTGCAATCTTGTGACATTTCTCACCCTTGTTTTAATGCCCAGACCTTTCAATCGTAACTGAAGTTCTTCATATGAAAGAAGTGAAATATCCTCAATATTATCGTTAGCCTGCTCCTGATTACATAAACGAGGGCGCTTCCTCCGATTTTCATGAATTTCTGACTTCCAGTATTCTTATACCTTGTTATACGGTCTTGGTGTCCTCTGTAACTCCCTTAAATGTTGAAGCCTTTCTTCAACCAATAACACATTTTTAGTCGCATCCCACTTGTTGGACTTTTCCAAATGAATTCTTCTGCAAACATCATTAAGGTTTTCAACACCTAATGTAAAATAATGATTGGATACATGTAATATCCTTTTTGCAGGAAAGCAGGTGACTCATAGTTCTGTAAAGCAAACTTTGTTGCATTTGTTATAGCCTATTCAAGGTTTTGAGCGAAGGCCTTTCGGCTTTCGCCAATAATTAGTGGGAGCGGTTTCATAGGAATAGAGTATATTAATTTCATACATGTCCAATACTAACGCAAATGTCCAATGGACATATGAAATGTCCATTGGACATATGACTGTCCATTGGATCCAATGGACAACTCAAATGTCCATTGGACATGTGCATGTCCAATGGACATACCGAATGTCCATTGGATATTCGAGTGTCAATTGGATCCAATGGACTAAACCGGACTTTGTAACCACCGGGAAAGGGCATCGTGGATATACTGAATGAGTATAATGTCCAATGGTCCATTGGATCCAATGGAC